CCGGCACAGCCTCTGGTACACACAGGGCTGCAGAGCAAGCTGCCGCTCTCAAGAGGGACTAGAGAGCAGGGAAAGGCCAGAAGTACATCAGAAAGGCAGAAGGAACCGAGAGCGGCCGCAGGGTGGGAGTAAGCTGAGGCAAAACACCAAGCTGAATGCAAGAGAGAACTCTGCTGTGGCGAGGGCTGCTCCGGACACAGTCACCCAAATGGAAGGATGGTGCTACCTACTCTGGGCGGGGTAGGGCAGTGGGACACAGGCAACACAGAGAACACTCTCTCATCAGACCCTGAGGGGTGAGGCGGCTGTTCTCTGACAAACGTCGGGGGAGAGCTGTGGCCTGCAGACTACTCAACATCCTGCCAGATTGCATGAGCCTCTCCCTTTGTAGGAGGTGAACAGACCCTTCCACTGGGGCTTCACAGACTCCTGGCAGGTGCTGGGACAAAATACATCATGGGAGCCCAAGGGAATAAGGTCTGCTGCATCTAAGTGGGAGATGGTGGAGGCAGCGTGGAGAAGACAGGAAGGAGCTGGCTTCAGTGGGGCAGAGAGCATTTGTCATCAGAGTCAAGGAAACCAGTCCCATGAGGAACCACTGAGCTACCGAGAGGTGGCATCAGAGAGACTCATCTGTCTGCTTTACATGAGAGACTTGCAAGAGATCTGCTGCACCCCAAGACACATTTCAAGTTGGACAGTGACCAGGAGATGCTATAAAGATCCTAAAAAGGATACTTAGGAGAGCTCCTTGTCCACCATGAGACACAGCTCACTGTTCCTCTCCCTCACATGCCTACAGGAGACCCTGAAGTCCGGTGCCCAGAAAACACAGGTTTTCCACCACTCACAGGTGCTGTCCCCTGAAGCAATCAAGAAAAGTAACTGAGCCACTCAATTATTTCTTAGACTCCAAGAGAAGAACTGTACACTTCAGCCTCAGGCTTCCACAGTGCACAGTTCCTTGTGCACCCGCATGCCCTCCCTGCCTCAGGAGGGAGGCTCCCAATGACCTGGGTCATTTGGGGGAAAACTCTGCTGCTGAGTTCTCCCACACATTTTGAGACACTCAGCCCTAAGCAAACAGGAAGCAACGTTTTCACTACTGACCAGTGAAATTTCCTCCGATCACATAGGGGATGACCCCCCCTGGCCAGATCCTCTCAGCCCTGGAGGTGGTTGCCCTGCGCACTCTGGGAGAGGAGCGTGTATCCATCCCAGACTCATCTTTATATTCCTTCCTCTTCGGTCTCCTTGCAAGCGTTGTGTTCTGCCTGCCGTCTGCAAGACAGAGTGGCAAGACTGTTTAAATCCTCTTTAGTTCCACGTGCAGCCCTCAGGTAATACCCTGGAGCTTCAGAAAAAGAAAAACAGAAAAAGCAAGATGTTAATCCAAACCAGAAGCCATAGCCAGGTTTGCCAGTGATTGTGTTGGGACTTAGAGACAGTTAAGCTGTAGCAACCTGGCCCTTCTTGTCTTGGAGCCTCCCCTGTGCACTATGCCAAACCTATTGTCCCAGAAAGGTGTAAAGGGTCTCTAGCCACCCACTCTCTCCAACAGCGACTCCATAGATGGGGACACAGTACTTAAACAAGGGGAATGGGAGGAGGGAGGTCAAATAAGCCCAGATGTCGCAGTATATTCTCAACCTGCCCTACTCATCCAGATGTGCAGAAAAAGGTTTGTTCTGGCAGGGCTAGCTTCCCAATGGCAACAACTATTCATTCAAGGTGGCCTTGGAAGAAGAGGACAGGCCCCTTTGAAACCTATACTCAAAGCTGAAAAGTATTGCATAAAAGTGTGTGTTTTCCCATGCTAGGTCTTGGGTGGTTTGGAAACATATACAGATCAGATAGTCTCTGCTGGAGGAGGGATGCTCAGGGTAGAAAAGCTGAGGCATTCTATACTTAGCACAAATCTCCAACCATGTTGAATCTCTTCATTTTATTGAAAAGGAGCAAGAATACAAAAGGAAAAAGAGAACATGTGTCTCATTTCTTGCTCAAAAGGCAGAGGGGCCCTGGCTGTGTGGTGCTTGGTGCTGGCCACAAAACCTGCCTGAGGATTCATGCAGGCTCCTAGGCAGGACCCATACTTTGCTTTTTATCTCTGCTGCTGCAGTTCTGCTTAGATATTGGCTACACCTACTCAAGTGACACTTTTAATGTGGTGCGGGTCTGATCCACAGAAAATATCCTCCATTCAGAGCTTCCTGGCTGCTCACCCCCTATTTGCTGTGCCATGGGTGACCCCAAATATCAAAACATGCTTAGTCCAGCTGGGCTTTACTAGCATGTGTAAGGACTGTGTAGACACCATTTCTTAGATAAGCCGCTTGTATTGCACAGCCAACCCCTCAGCTGGACTTGGGCAAAGGAATAATAGAGCGCGGGGGGGTTGCTGCACCTGCACAGGGCGCTGGCCTACAGGGAACCCCCTCCTCACCTCGAGAGGCAGCACTGCTGGTAGTGGCTCCTCAGTGCTGGTGGGCTTCTCTGAAGCTCCAAGGGAGGAATCCTAAGCTCCAGCTGTGACCTTGTGATTTGTATGGAAATCAGCAAGACCGGCTACAGCTTTGCTTGCCAAGTCAGGGACATGGGCTGCTGGGTTATGAAAAAGCACAAGCCCCACTGAGACCTTCCTCCAGGAACTAGAGGGCCTGCTGAGAGCCTCTTCTCCCACTCATCCCTCCAGCAGCAGCATGGGTAAGCAAACCACTACTGTCAAACTTCCCAAAACAATGGGAAGGAAATCAAGGCAGTGCAGGGGGGTGGGTGAACTTCAAACCCTCCCTCCTGCTTCACCAGCTCCAGCCATTCCCACTGGAGGCCTTGGTCTGAGCTCCAGGACGAAGACGGGAATTTGCCTTTTGCTCCTCTTCTTCTGGCTGCACCTGGAATTTCAGAAGCTGCCCCATCCCCAAACCAGCTGCTGGACCCTGGAAGGCAGATGCTCTGAGGCTGGGGGTTCCCACAATGAATTAAGAGCTGCCCTCCCCTTCTTTGCATACACTTATCCCACAGAGGTACTGCTGGGGCATTACAAAGGCCATAGCTAGAAGAAGGGAGAGGTTCTCGAGACACAAGTAGTCTTCTGAATACAGAAGAAGTGTGTCCTTGGAGAGGCCTGACACACCCTCCAAGCAGGGACTTGGGGAACGCAGGCAGCAGGTGCCATATCACCAAGGGACAGAAGAAATCTGGACAGCAAGCTTGAAGAAGCACTGTGTACAGCCACTGCCAAGCTGCATGTATGGAGAGGGTTTCTTCAGTGAGAGATAAAGCCATGCAGCCTTTCTAATGCTTAGCCTACCTGGACGTAACCTCTCTCACTGACTGGGACAACCAAGATCCTTTCTAAAATCCCCCGCTCCCTTCATGATGAGTAACACCCAGAGGTTTCTGTACACCAGCCACGGGTGGGAGACTCCTTACACTGCCCACGGCATGTTGCATCTGCAACGTGCCGTGAAACAGCCCCTGCTGCTCTCTGAAACCCACTCAGGGGTCTCCCAGACTCATCCGGCCAGCAGAGACAGCCCAGCTTTATGCCAACAGCAGCACCAGCCCAGCTCTACGTGGAAACAGGCAGAGGCACCGACATAGCTTTGCAAGCAGAAGCACCTTCCTCAACTGCTCTTGCCCACTGTTCCACTGCCTCAGGCTCGCCACCAGCTGAGGAGACATGAGCAGCTCCAATGAGGGAACACAGCACTAGGCTATGAACACAGCAGCCATGAATGCAAACATCCCCCCATGGACTGACCTGCTGGGTGGTCTTTCTGACTCAGTGCCTCTATTTATAAGGGGGAAAGAG